GGAACTACACGTCCTGTGAAACACATGGCCAAAAAAGGACAGTCTAAAGCTGGCAAATTTTAAATGTTCAGGTGTAATAATTTATAACCCATGGGACTTATTATTCTTCAGCTTTAAGAAAGCATCAGAGACCTRTTGAGGAGTAACAATCACTCCTACATGACTTTCTATCACTCCTACTCTCACTAGATCATTCTGGACAGGGTGATACAAGTCATGGTTATACTTTTGCCAGATATTGGATYGGATAGAGATTCCAAAGCTATTAAACATTTTTACCCCTTTCCAAAGCCATTATTGTTCTTATTTTGCAGCTTTAAAGCAAGGGAGTGTACCTCTAAGATGTTCTCATTCCTCTTAACAAATCTAAGACCATATTTAAATTTCACATTAGCCCTTTTCTTAATTTCAAACACAGGTCCAAATTGTTGCCTTCAGGCTACAATCCAAGCCTTAAATCTTTGCCTTTCTTCAGCATGTGAATGTTCCACAAAGGTTGTTTCATCCAGGTTTGCCAATACCAGCATTTTTCTTTTGTTTACATAAGTGGATGACAGACTTGATAACAGCCTTAAAAGTTGCATCATAAAGGATGAGCAGATGTGCACTGTAGTATTATATGGCATCTTTCAGGAGAGAGATGTCCATCAAACATTGCTATGTTCTCTGTGTACGTTTTCATTTTCTCTCAGGGAAGATTGGGCCAGTCCTGTTTCTCTCTGTTAAAACTGTTTGCAGGGATGTTACACGCAGCATATTTAGAAATGCAATTACAGGAGCAATGAGTGGCATATGATAATAAGTAATCACAATATAGTTTATCTTCATGTCAGCTCTACAGTGAGTGTAGCCTACTCCTGGAGCATCACCCTGTACGTCTCTGCTAAGTTGCTCCACTCTGTTAGGAGCGTTGAGGCGTCCATACTTTCGAAGCCAACTATCGGCAAATCATCCAAATAGTACGGTATAAACTGTGGTATATTTTCCCCACATCCATCCATCACATTTATGCAGGCTTTTATGTTATTAATGATTTTTTGTAGCCTCTTATGTGCAACATTACGCAGGTTTGTCTGGAGTCACTTCAAATAAAATCCTCTGATTCCTTGATGCGCTCTGAAGAAAAGTTGTGGATGGTCACAATATAATTTTGTCTTGGGTTAGGGTACTATATGRAGCTTAATGACCAGTAAGTTTAAATGTTCATCTTTAACAACGACTCTACCATTTGTTGATGTTTTTCTGTCTTTTCACATCGTGGAGCGCTGCTGCCAGCAGTATGCGCCATGGGCGCTGTTTAGCTATTGTGACAAATATAAAAACAATTGAATCTAGATAGATGGGAACACTTGAAATATTTTGAAAGAAAGATAGGCCTTTTTGTAACAATGTGAAAGAGATGATAAAATTGCCAGAAAGACGAGCAGCAGGGGGCTGCTTAGGACTGAAGCTCAGGTTTTCAACATTTGAACTTTATGGTCCCTGCAGCTCTCAGTCGATCGTTTCACAAAACCTCAGGGTTTAAAACTGTTTTCATCTGGAATCTATAACCAGATGATTTTTAACAATAAGTTTACTGAACTTTAACATGAATTCCTTCATCGGTTTGTCAAACAGTCTATAAATAAATGTTTCAAACATGTTGACACTAACTGGAAATTGTTAGCATATCATTTAAAATTGATTTAGCAAATTCATTTACTCTTTAGTATTAGTAATGCTATATTTGCTGAAGGTCATCAATTATGAAAGATTCTCCTTTTGTGCCAGTGCATGTCCCCAAACACCACATCTATTTCTCAGTGAGAAGTAAAAATAACACCCAGCAATACACAGAGAACAACATGACAATCATAGTGAGTTCACAGCCAATCAAAAAAAAACTCTTATTATTTACAAATTACTTCCTAAAGAAGTTATATGATGATTGTACTGCTTCAGGATAAAGTGCAGACAGAAGCAGAAAAAGGCCCTCACTATGAGGAAGCTGAATCATGCTGCCATTGATAAACAATACAACACGGACGGACCCAGGTGCTGAAACACATTACAAACCTTGGTGTAACTTCAAACAAAGCCCTGAACACTCCAGTGTTGCACGAGTTTAAATGTTACAAATTACTGCAGTGGCTGCGTATAAAAACTAAATTAAAAAGATGGTTTCATGTTTAAAATTAATATCTGTTTTAAATTTAATTTGTGGAAATAATCTCTGAGGTGTGTGTGAGTTGTAGATCCCTGGTTTGTGGTTCAGTATTCCCTGCTGTCACCAGATTCTGATCACCATCAGGTGGTGATCCGATGGCAGTTCTAAACAGCTCTTGATTTGGTAAAGCTAACCCTAACTTTTTACAAACCACCCTGTGCTCAGTGTCTGTTATAGACAACTAATGATTTGGATGGAAGTACAACAGAACACCTTAGACTTGGATCAGGGAGGCAGTTCATCCAAACTTGGTTCTAAAAAGGTAAACGTCACAATTTCCCCAGTTTTTAGCAAAGTATTTGGACATTAATTACACGTTTGTTTGTGCTGCGCCATGTTCTGCACATTGATTTCAATGGTTAGCATTAGCTCAATGCATTAAAAATCTCCCTTGCGTAGCATGCCCAGGTCAAGTGACACCAAATCAAGTAATATAGATCATTGGTTGGAGCCCCATGTTAAGGTGGGGTCCTGTGTGGTTTTTTTTTTTTTTTTTTTTTTTTTTGGGGGGGGGGGGGCGCTCTAGAGACCAAAGAACCAAGTCTTGACCACTTGTAATTCCAGGCGGGGATCTGGTTTACTTATTCCAAGAATAAGATGTCTTGTTCTGAGAGTTTGCTTTGAGTTATAGCCACATATTCTCAGCTGTCTGTGGTGGCCATCTTGATTTGGGTTGYCTCCAAAAGTTATGCACAAACACAGCCAATGGTTACTTTTTGAGGGTTTCATTCAAGCTCATTGAGRTGTTCATGAAATATTTTGCTAACTCCATTTTTATCTTCAACGGTTTATCCGTAGTCACGTTGCAGAGGCAACAGATCCAGGAGAGAAACTCAGACATCRCTCTCCCCACCYAGACTTTCCAGCTCYTCCTGGAAAACCCCAAGGCGTTCTCTAGCCAGAGAGGACACATAATCCCTGGAGTTAGTCCTGTGTCTTCCCTGGGGCCTACCAGCGGGACATGCCCYGAACACCTRGTCCAGGAGGCATCTCCTCCTCAACTGACTCCTTTCGATGTGGAGGAGCAGCGGCACTACTCTGAACTCCCCCGGATGACAGAGCTCCTCACATATCTCTAGGCTGAGCCCGGCCACCCTACGAAGGAAGCTCATGTCTGTATCCAGAACCTTGCTTGTTCAGCCATGATCCACATCTCATGACCGTAGGTGAGGGTTGGTGTTGTGGAAATCTTAATTTAACAAGGACAGAAATACGTGATCCAAAGAATAAAGGCATTTTGTAAGAATGGTCAGCTGAGGTTGTTTCTTGCAACAACAGGAACACAGAGATCAACATAGAGCCATCAGACTGTCCCCCTGCTCTCTGCTCCTGCTCCCTTTGAGGCAATTGACGCCTCATACATACTGTTTAACAAACACCTTTATGTCATCTTAATAAAGCAAGATTTCATCCTAAGGAAATGCTGAGACAAGGAAAAACACAAAGATAAGAGTGACTGTTGTTAACAAATCTTGTTCTGGCTTTAATCATTCTATCTACTAATACACATAGTGCCATGACAAACTAGGTCATTAAAGTATGTCATGAATTACTGGTGTACAACAAAAAGTATTATTTCTATTACAGATGGAACGTAGACAGACCAGTTAATTGAGAGCTTTGCGTTTCGACTCAGCTCTTTCTTTACCACAACTGACCAAAGCAACGCCCTCATTACTGAAGACGAGGTCCCAATCCATGGATCCATCGCCCATCACTTCATTCCATCAAACCATCACTTCATGAACAAGAAACTCAAAGACTTAAAGTTTTGCTAACATGACAGATGAATGAACACGCATGCACGCGCAACAAAAATTATTATCGCCTACATTTTTGGTTTGGTAGGTGATAATAACCTTTAAATATACMTTCAGTGGTGGGCAGCACTAACCTAAAAATGAGTTGCACTAACCCTAAAGCACTAACTTTAAGATTTAGGTCCCTTAATTCTAAAGCACTATCACACTTGAAAATTTAGCACAAGCTACTTCTAAAGCACTTAAAACCCAGCTGACCCATGGAACATTACTCAGAATCAACATGAGACGATATTTTCTTTGTACAGAATGTTGTTAATATTTCATCCAGTGTAGTGGTTCCCAAAGTTGGGGTCAGGACCTCTTTGTTTGGTCACAAAACATCAAGTGACAGTCCCCAGATGATTTCCAAACATCAATTTAAATGCAAAAAAAAAAAAATGCTAATGGAATATTTTCCATCATGATTATTGTAATTTTTTAAATAATCATAAATGAATAAAAATTAGTATCATAGTTACTAGGTTTGTTTATAGTTATTATTCCCATGTTTAAAAGAGTTATTAGCAAAGTTTGCATATGTAAACAAGTAATATCTGGGGTCACGAGTGTCTGCAACTGTTATTTTGTGGGTTGGAAGAAACAAGTTTGAATTAGCACCTATTAATTTAGCCCATAAATTTAGCTAGTGCTAATCCACTAATGAATTAAGAAATTAGCAAAAGCACTAAAGCACTAATCAGGGAATTAGTCCCCCTATTAGTGCTTTAGTGCTTTAAGGGAACTGTGCCCACCACTGTATACTTTTAAATATGTTTGAAGCTAAATGGATACTTTACCTGGTAGTAAAGCATCTATAAAGAATCCTGTACTAAGGTGTATACACACAGAAACATTGGATGAAAATAAAGGAAGCAGACAACTTCATTTTCCATCAAAATTTAGAAAAAAAATACTGTTTTTACAAATCACAATCTTGCTGTCACTGATAGACAAGTCTCACCGCACACACACACACACACACCCGATCCCACATGAAAACACAGATGGTGTGATTTTACAGGGATTACATCTATTTGTTTGGTCTTTTTGGTATATCTGTTCGTTTTTATTGTTTATTTAAAACCTTTTACAGAGCCAAATGTGAAACTATCTGGCAGGCAGCAAGGAGTGAAGAAGGAGAAATYTTTCTGTGTGCTGATTCTGTTTTCACACTCGCCTCCTTTAGTGTTTGGGGTTCCTCTTGCCTGCTGGCAGGTTCAGCTCCGACTCATCGTAACTCCCCGCTTTGTTTGTTTGTTTGTTGTTTTTAGAGTGGTTCAAATATGGGAAAATTTCTGTTTACCCATGTGCACCATCAGCTATGTCACAAACAGAGCTGCGCTGGAGTCTAAAGAATTGTGTATCTTGTGTTTTTTTTCTGTCTCAATTGAATAAACGTGGAATAAAGTTGGTATATATATATGATTTTAGGCCTCTGTGTAGTTAGTCAGCTTTACTAATATAGAAGGCTGAGAGTCAGTGGTTGTGAGCAGGTGTGCTGCTGATGTCTGTGTAACTGTGACACACAAAGCTCGGTAATCCCTCCTACAAGCTAAAGCAGGAGCACATGCCGCAGGCAGAATGTCTGCTCACTTCAGCGCTCCTGCGTTGGATGGGATTCCACACTGTCTGTCTTTTCAAACCACTGCTTCTGCCTTCTGCTCTGTGAACGTCTTCACTCCTGGTTCTGCTGCTGCGTTCGCCTCCTTAATGCTACTTTTGTAACGAAGCACCGCTCTGTGCCCACAGATCCCAGTGAGACAGTGGCCCCGTCCCTGCGTGCATGAGTGTAAGGGTGTGAGAGCGTGTGTGTGTGTGTGTGTGTGTGTGTGTGTGTGTGCGTGTGTGCGAGCGAGCAAGTGAGCGGGCGGCGCTCCCACATGGCCTCCATGCAGGACGGGCTGAACTTCACGGCTCCTCCCTACGGCAAGGTCCTGCTGCTGGGCGTCATCGCTGCTGCCTCGGCCTTCGTGGTTACCATCCTTATCGTGGTGCTCTGCGTGGGCTGCCAGAGGTGAGAGCAACACGCTGAACTCGAGGGACCAAACACAGATTCCTTCTGTYTTTAATGTCAAATCACCAGTGGTGGGAGAAATATCCAAACCTCGATGTAATCTACAGTCCGTCGTTACAAGTTTGAATCAGTAAAACTTTTCGTTTAGTTTTTCTTGTATTTCATAAAATGTATGTTTTATGGCATAACCAAACCCTACCAAGTTTTCATTTATGATTGATTATTAAAAGGTCAACAATTCAATGATTTTATGAATTTGGACAAATTTGAGCAAAAAATACAGCAAAAAAAAATCTTCAAAAATCAGCCTGAAATAAAAAAAAAGTTTTTGATTGGTGTGTACAAATAATTCCTTACTTGTGTGGGTTATGCTATTTTTCTTTTTTCTTTTTCTTTTTTGTGAGAGCAAAGACACATCCCACCTAGCAAAATCTGTCTGGCCCACTTCTGGACTGCACTAACATACGGCCCAGATACTGCAAAGAATGGTGGCCCTTTGGTGGCCCAGATGTGGTTTTCAAGAGGTGGTCCATGCATGGGCCAGCACCACATAAACCAAACCACAACTGGGCCAGTTGTGGCATGCCATCTTACAAACACATTCAGCATTGCCAGAACTGGATCACTTCCTGTTGACAAACCACTTGTTGCACCAGCAGTCAGCCAGATCTGACCCACTGAAGTGAAAGTCTGTCCTTTGTTAAATAAAAGTAAAACTCATATTAAAACTCACACTACATTTTTTAGGTTTTAGACACAACATAACTGAAAACTATAGTATTTGTGTTGTTTGACTCTGTTTTTTATTTTTATTTTGTCTGTTGTTTAGCTAACTACCTGTTTTTCCACCAGAGGCCCTGCTGAACGGCACTGAGCAGCTTCATAGCTGTTTTCATTTAATATCTCATTCTGCTCACTAAGCTGCAGAGTCTTTAATAAACTCCTGTCTAATGTTGTTTTCATGAGATGGTGAAGGAATAAGCTAGCGTTAGCTTCCCTCCTTTTTGTTCTGARGTTCTGATTGTTTAMGTTGTCAAYTGTTAAATGCCTGCAGCAGACTTCGGGCTCATCCCATCACTTTCTTTAATCACAAGAGATCACTGCAGTTTGTTGTGAACACCACTGTAAAGTGTAAAAAGCACATTTACTGTTAGAAAATGTATCATCAACATTCATTTAGTTACAAATTCTTCACCATTCTTTGTTTCRGTCCACATTTTAGTTGTTCTTCAATTTTAGGGTGATTCTTACTCTTGAGTTACTGTTATTTCATGTGTTTATTCTGATATTTAAAATGTGTAGGTTAAAATAAATTCTCTGTTTTTGGTTCATGAAAGTTTTTTCTCACCACTTGCTCATAGGTTTGGGCAATATTGGCAAAAACKTTAATCACGATTAATTGTGGCCTTTAGCTGGTAATGATTAATGTGATGGTTAATAGAGAACAAATSRACTTGCATGTTTTTGAGTATAAATGAGTAACTCTGCTCTAAAATTATACTTACATGAGTGAAACTAACTCCTTCATTAAACAGCCACGGCCCATGTTATCACCGTCCAGCTGCACCTTGCTGCTCGTCAGAGACAGATTGACTGAGTGCATCATTTATTCAAAGCTGAGTTTGTTTCCACCATTCGCTGAAGGAGAGTTTGTTGTAGTCCACTTGGTTTGCATTCTCTGGCTATTTTTGTTTTCCGGTTTATGGTGGATTTTTCTGATGATTAAACAAGTTTGTAGTGTTAGTGTTAGCTCTGCGCTTCACACAAAAATCGCAAAATACCAAATATTAATTGGTGACAGTTTTTCTGACAGTTAATTGCACACAATACCATTTTGCCCATCCCTACTTGTGCAAACAGATCAAAAACTTTTTTTTATTTTAAATAAAAAATAATATTAACAAAACTGAACTGAACTCCATGCACACTCCAAAAGTGTAACAATACCTGGGTTTCTCAGATGTCAGCTTTACATCCTGTGTGACAGAGTGGTGTGTGTTTATCACAGGAAGGCGAAGACACACAATGTTGCCGGTGAAGGAGGGAAGCATCGTCTCATGGATATGGTAAGTATCTGCCGGAATACTTTTAAAATTGTGTTGGTGCTGGAGTAAATGTTGCAGGAGCAGCTCGATTCACCAGGGAACAATAAGACCTTTTCAGTCCTAATTAGTGTTTAACCGGTCCTGTGTGTGTGTGTGTGTGTGTGTGTGTGTGTGTGTGTGTGTGTGTGTGTGTGTGTG